AAGGAGGTGCTGGGACCAGTAGTTTTGTAAGAAGGATTAGTGGAAGTATGGTAGAACCTAGATTAGCTTCTAAAATTCTGCCCCTCTCTCTATTAGACTTTCCAGTTGTGTATCCAGGACTCCCCCATGGCTTTGTTCCAGAAAGGGAGGCATAGAGCTGGAAGCTAGATATGTTCCCTGAAATGGAATGAGGAGGCACAGCAGCCTCCATCAGCCTGGAGGGACAACTGCAGAGGTCCGCCTGCACCCCACATAACAAAGTACTATGGGACAACCTTATGAAATTACTGAGCAAGTGGCCTGACACTTGGCAACCCTGGGCAATATTTCTTTAGCTTAAATTGATAGTAAGCAGACATCTGGGATAGAAAAGACCTCTACGTGCCCTGACACTCAACTAATACAACTGCATAGTGCACCCAGCATCATTAAGAAACATTTAACAGGAACAAATCACTCCAGTTGGCCAACCACTAGATCGTCCACAGTGGAGTCACTAGGTGCTATGGTAATGATTAGAACATGCACAGGATAAACTGTTGTTTCTTCTTTTATTCCCTGTCAGCTACAGGGATATTACTTGTGGCATTGGAGAATGATCACAAGAAGTGTCATTTACTATTTCTTTCAATCCTGTGTTGTCTTTTACACACAGTAAAGATCCTTGTGATTTAAGATTTGAGGAGCTTTTTTTTTTTTTTTTTTTTTTTTTTAAAGAAAATTTTCATGTTCCAAGTTAAGTCAAGTCCAAATCCATGAGTCAGTCCAGAACTGTAAGTGACCCTACAACCAGCAAACCTTCCACCCTCACCAAAGGCTTCAGATATTTCCAAAGTCTTTTGGCAGGCATCCTATCTGCAGGCCCAAGCTCAGAGGCTTGCAGTTTGGATGCCCCCAAGTTTCACCTGCCCTCAGCCATATGGTCACAGGAACAAGCTAAGGAGGAGCCTTCCAGTTAAGATTTGAGGAGCTCAGAAAGAAAGTGAGAGAAGCCCTGGTGGAAAGTTTGTGGGTAGACTTGGGTGGATTCAGGGCTGCACAGATCTGCCTTTGTATAGTGGAGGGGAAGAGGGGTATAATGCACCCAGACTGCAGATTATTGAGGCTGCAGTAGTGGTCCATGCAAACTCAAGAGAATCTTCTATTTCTCAAGCTCAGCTTTTTGGGCTTTGCTGAAGTGAGGAAATATTTATCTTTTAGGCTTTTCTTCTCTCACAAAAGCCATTGATTGTCTCTAATCATACCCATGCCATGATCATTATTTAAATATGCCAGTAGGGCTTAGGAGAGCAGTTGATCAAAGACCTGAAGAATGATAGTTTTGGGGAATCTGATTCAATTGCAGTTGATTCTGATGAAAGGAAAGAGGAATATGTATAATTTTAGCAATGATCTTTACATTGTACATTCAGGATAAGCATTAGAAATACATTTTGATATTAATATGAAAAGAGATTGTTGGGTCTAAATAGCATTTTGTTATGAATTCTTAGATCACTGAAATCCATCTGGTTGCTTGGCTTTACAAGAGAGAAAGCTGTTATCACTTGTTCTATCCAGTATTATATTACAGAGATGAAACTTGTATTTGGTCTTGCCTTGTCAACATGATGCTCTTTGTCTGTGAATGTGACCTATTCAGTTTGGAACTTAAAGCAGTGGGAAATTTGGTCTTGTAGTAACCTGTCCAGTGAGTGACGGAAAACTTGAGAAGAGTGTAGCTTACAAAAAACATTTCACATGCTCTGAATTACAATCGTTCAATTAAATATCTTTTCCTTTGGGTTGTCAGTGTGCTTCCAGTAAAAAGCTATAGAGTGGAATAAATGATGTAAAAAAAAATGTACACATGCACTGAAGAACTGTCTAAGCCATAGTTACAAAATTTAATTTACAAAATACTAATTTATCCATTGCTCACAAAAAGCAAATGCTGTGATGAATGTACTAGATGCAATAATAAGGTTTTCTTTTTTGGGTGCTATATAGAGAAAATGGTGACACCAACCAGGTTGTCTGGGATTTGACTACCAATGTTAATTTGTTTTCCTGATGCAGATAATTTAGATCAACTGTATTACAATGCTGAGCTACAGACGTGACTTCTGAATAAACAGAATTAGTAGATTACTTCAAGGAAAACACATAACTCAGAATTATATTTATCCTTACAGAAATGTACCTTTATTCTTACAAACTTTTTATTCACCTCCCCCCTCCAAAAAAGAAAAAGAAAAATACAAACCCTGCAGTGATACTTTAAAAGATTATTTCTTGCCCCAAATTAGTAAATGTAAGTGCTCAGCCTCTGGTGTGTAATCATTTTAGATATTATGGAGCCTTTAAAAGTGAAGCTTTCCTACTTTTCTGTCTAACTAGCATGTTCTGTACCCTCATTTTTTCATATAGTATTAGATGGGAACTGTAGATAGGAAGCAGGGTATACACTCCTGGAACTTAAGGCATGCTGGAGCCATAGTAATTGCAATGAAAAGACTGTTTTATGCTGTTCCATCTAACTAAAGATTCACAATGTTTAAAATTTGAATTTCTCATTCTATAAATCATAATTTTTTGAGTTTATGGAACTTTAAAAAATTGATTAATAAGCCATTAAGGCCTTTGCAGATTTATCTTATTAACTGGCACATAAAACTGCATAAGCAAAAATGTTTGCAGAATTTTTTGAGACAAAATTTTTGTGGGTCTTGTGGAAAATTGTCACTTCGTTCCAACATGTTATTCATTACATGTATGCATTACATTGTACAGTATTTTGCTAGAACTTCTGTAGAGTCGGGCAATTCAGTAATGTCTGTATTAAGTCTTTTCCATTTTACATCTCAGCTTATTTATCCCTGGTATACTTATTATTTATTCTAGGTTTTCAGGACTCTAGTAAAAACTATACATGAAAGCATATGTTTTAAGTTTCCCATTATTTGATTTACTTTGCTGTGATGCACTGTTCTTCTATGTTGTTGGAGGCTCCAGACATTTTTACTATACTTCATTTAAGGTTTCATTTTTAGTTATTACTACTTTTGTCATTTGTAAGCAAGATTCTGGATTTCAGATTTCAGTCTTAACCTTGGAAACACTTTTGTATGTGTTAACTTTACTTTTGTGAGTAATTTCTTTGAAGTCTAGAGGACTGCTAGTACAAATAAAGGGAGGCATATGTGTAACTGTCTTTGTTACATTGTATGCCATTAGTAATCATGGAGTGTGTCTACATGTGCCAATTTAAGACTCATTATCCATTTTTAAGCCACATTAAGGGTGCGGATCTACATGTGTGTGCCCTTAATGCTTCTTAAAAATGACAATTTTAGGCTATTCATGCCTTAATTTGATACCTGCAAACCTGGTTTGCCTGGTTTTGGGGTTCATGTGTCCAGCTCTCTGCACAAATGTAGGATTGCTGTTTCTAAACTATCTTTGACCAAATGTGTGTCCAGCCTTCTCTTGAAAACCTTTAGTGAAGCAGATTGCTCAACTGACTTGCATAGTTCCAGTGATAATAGGATTACTTGAAACAACCATATAATTTAACATGGAAAAGTATCACAGGAACCAATGCTGAGAAGCTGAATCACTACACATTCAAATTAGAAACAAGGCATAGATTTTTAGCAATGAGGGTGAAATTACATATTATACTTAGACCAAGATAAGGGCACTTAAAACCTGAGCATCTGCAAGTTAAAACTTGTCCTAACTACCTCCTGAGTGTCTCAAAGTTACGCTACTTCAGGCAAGTGTTAACTCTGGACCTTGCTATATAGCTCGTGCTAGGGTAACTTCAGTCTGCTTTATGGAGATAAAATGAGCAATTCACAGTCCTCCAGCATCCCACGATACACTGTTCCCAGTCCCTTCTTTTTCCCTCTCCCCTCAGAGCTGGGAGAGAGCCCGGATGTTCTGGTTCATAGCCATGTCCCTGTTTGCTAGCCCTCTAATGGCAAATCAGAGCTGTGCAGGTAAAAAATGATATTCAGCTTTTATGTTTGACTTCTCACAGCACGTTCTCACTTTAACACTGCTTAACACTCCACAGATTTAGTATGGTTTAAGTGTAATGGATAACTTCATCCTGACAGTGATTAACACATGGAACAAATTACCAAGGGAAGGAATTGAGTCTCCATTTTTTGTCTTAAAATAAAGACTGGAAAAGTTCTGGAAAAAATATGCTATATTCAAACATAAATTAATTGACTCAGTACAGAACGAACTAGGTGAAATCTACAGAGTATATACAAGTTCAGATTGGTTTATCTTAAAGCATCTTTTGACTTAAGGCAGACAAGCTTCTTTGGGTAAATGTGATATATTTTACTAGACCAACTAATTAATTGGAAAAATTGTTCTTTGCAAGCTTTTGGGTACAAACACCCTTCTTCAGGCATAGGGACAGTGTTTTGACTTGAAGTCTTTATATCATTCAATAAGTCTTTTTAGGGCTAGCAACAGGGTTCGAATTACACTTTGACTTTTGTGGGGGTTGGAGGTGGTGGAAGCAGCAGCAGTGGCTGTAGAGAGAAGCCACAGGGCAGCCTGGGCACAGGATCCGGGCAGCTGCAGCAAAAAGTGCCTGACAGGGAGAGGGGAAGTAAGGAGGGGGTTTTTCCCCCATGTTAAACACTAGTTTCTGCCCAGCTGCCTGCACCTTATGTCTCTTATGGGGGGGCTCAGCCCCCCATGTAATTTGAACCCTGGTTAGCACTTATAGTGTCCAATGCCATTCTTAACGTTAATTAAATGGACAGTTAAATTATCTGTGAATGGAAGTAACCAAACTGCATATTTGTAAGCGTTGATTAAAACTTGCATTCTTCAGTTCCTGAAAATTTAAAAAATATGATAGGTGCTTTTAAAAGAAAAAGTTAGCTGGATGACTTGAAAATCATTTACAAGTGTAGGAAAATATTTATAAATATGTAAATCTGAAAGTTATATTTCCGTTGAATGGATATGTGATGTTATGTTTTTGATAGCCTCGTTAAATATGGTGATGCATGCTTTGAGCCAGATGAATGCCCATGTTCATGGAAAGGAAAGGAATATTTTCCTGGTGATAAAGTAATTTCTTCCTGTCATACCTGGTAAGTAGTACTCTGTTCAGTTCCATGTTAAATTTAATTTATCTGCTAACTAAAACTTGTCTTGTTTTGTTTTCCTATTTCTTGATTATAGTTTTAAAGCCCAATTCTGTTGTCATCTATAGTAATTTTATTTTTACACTTGCAAATAAGTGTTAAAAATAGATTTTTTTGAAAACTGGAATATTGTTTCAAGGGTAACCAAACAACAGCATATTATGTGAAAGAGGTCTGGGCACTATAGGCAAGATTTAGAAAATTTTTATTCTTGACTATTGATATCCCAAGGTAATCTAAATTTAAATCTAACCTCAATTGTTAATTCACCAGATTTAGGACAGAATCATATTTCTGTAGAAAATGCATCCCAGTAACTTTTTCTTGAGAAAAGGTTTTCTTCTTTTTCAAATTTAGAATTGAAATTGAGAAGCCTATGAGCCAAAAAACATAGCCTTAAAACCATTAGTATACATGCTACAGTTTTGAAATAAGCAAATTCTATCAGCAAGATAGCAGATCAATAAAACTGGTGACTGACTCTTTCTGTGGGTAATAGTTAATGAATCAACAAGATTTTTAAGAACCGTTCCCAATAGAAACATCACTTTATAAGCTTAATAATTTAAACTCAGAAACTGTCCACTTTAATACCTAATGCTAGGAATCTACCATGTGACCTAAAACCATGTCACTCTGCAAACCTTCCTCAGCACCCACAGTGGAGGCTTGGATACCACTACTTACACCACTTTCAGTGCAGTAGGCAAAGATTCCATATAAAAAGCTAAAATCTGAACCTTCCACCCCTTTCTCAAAAAAACCAAAACTCCCAAAAAAACTCCAAACACACCATTATCTTATCACCCTGAAGAGAACTGTTTTCCTAGTGGTTCCCTCCTCTATTCTCCCTTTTCTCCTGTTCAACCTAGAAGTCGGCATTAATCATTTATCTAGATCATCAGAGTAATTAGCCACATTTTCAAACATCAAGATATTATACAGTACTGTAGCCCGCAACTTCCCTGTCAAGCTGCTCCTTCTTTTTGACTCTTCTCTTAATCTACCAGGGATATTTAACTGGTATTCACCTGGTAAACTATTGGAGCTGGCAAAAATCACTAGAGCCTAAAGCAATGAAGGCTTGTCCAGTCGCACTAGTCAATGCCTTGTCTGGATGTCTTCGCCCCTCCAGCCTTGTGCTGACTGCCTACCTCTGCCTCTCGTCAGGTCCTCAGTATCTGCTCTAGAAGATATTTGTAGTCCTTTGGCCGACTGGTGAAGCGACTTACAAGCCATCTCCACTTGGCAGGAAGGTAAAGCGGCCCCGGGTTACTTACCCCCTTATTTCCAAAGGCCTCTGCACTTGGAGCTGTTGTTGGATTGCTTGCATCAAAGAGAATCCTTACTCCCATCTAATTTCTGTAGGACCTTACCAAAATCCAGCAGCATTGAAGGCAAAAAGACACTAGATAGCTAGTCTTCACTAATTTTTGCTGAAGGAAAGTCATTTTTGGTTGGAAAATCTTATGGCATTCCCCGTTCCACACAAACTCACTCTTCTGGGACTTGGGCCCTTTGTGGTTCCTGTCTCCATGTCAAGAAGTAAAGACTTGCTGAGTGACAAAAACTTTTCCAACAACAGACTAGGTCCACACCAGGCTTCCACTGCCAACTTGATTACACCAAAAAATGACATACAGTACAAAAAGGCCATGGAAAAAATGCACGTGTGCTATATGAAACGTGTCATTTGCCCATGCAAAACCAAAGAGAGCTACCATACAAAACAAGCCCATTGAGCCTTCATAACATTTACCAATTTGTTTCAAACTTTATTTGGTATAGTCTCATGATAATCCCAATAAGAATAAATATGAAACAATGTGGTATTGATATTAAATGTCCTGCCATTAACCATGAGTTATATAACTATTAACATAATAGATTAGGCCAGCATATGACTGTACTATAATAACAATGATCTGCAGAATTATGTCTTAAAATTGCAAATATATCTGTATTTACGACTTCAGTAATAGCAATATTTGTTAAGAATGGATTAATGCCAAGAGACATTGAGGGCAGTGGTTGGGTCTGCACAGCTGTTGCTCCTGTATGTTTCTCAAATTCTGGGGCTGACTAGTTTAGACCTTAAAGCAATCGGCAAGTGCCTCTGGATGTTTTAACTGTTGTCACCTACAGGAGACACCTGTGGCCTGAGGCAACTGAAGACAATGTTAGTTGGTGTTGTTCTCAAATGCACTTGTAGAGGGCCTCTATACTGCTTGCATGATAGATGGTGGTCCTTTCTTATCCCTTAGAGGCCAGCATATAGAAGAGGCTTGAGATGGCTCAGGAGAAAAGTTGTGGGGTTCATGGCTAAGTAAATCTAGTGATCCCAGCACATCATGTAGGGCATGCAGAGCAGTATTCTTTATTTCTTCCAGCCATTTCTGTCTCCTTCCAAATCTCTTAAGTCTTCTTAAGAGAATTGTCAGAATTTAAAGGTAACATAGTAGTAAGTCAACGTAAATGAACATAAACTGGTATAAGTTATCTGCCTAGGGGAAGCAAGGTGGACTATGTAGGAAAATAAGTCTACAATAAAGCAGGATGAACCCTCTGAGGGTTTGAAGGGTCAAGTACTGAGATTCCATGAGTTAACAATTGCCTGAAAATTCAGGGTAGTAGACTTGATGTCTCAGGTGGTGCCTTTCAGTCCCATGTTCCTATGCTCCTGCTTTAAGTTGCATTCCCTTCTACCTTCCTGAGAATTGTTTTTTTCAAACTAAAGCAATGGCCTTCTACTCTTCTATCACATAAAATTAAAACTAATATTAATACATGCACTATTGATATTAATATGGATGTTAATAATTTAATTTTAACACTTGATTATTTACCATATACTAGTTATTGTATCGGCTATTTCACAGGAAAAATCAGACCCTTAATTTATTCAAGCAGTGCAAACCCCATTTAAGGAATCAGTAGAGAAATCAATTATTCATTTTCAAAATAAATGTACTATGTGCGCTGAATAGATGCATACAGTGCTGAACATATAAAACATGTTATATTCAGTTTAAAGGTTATGCTGTAATTGTATCAAAGGAATGACTTAAAGCCTTTATGTAGCATGAAGTTTCCAAAGATGCAAAGTGATTTTGGATTTTAAGTCTCATTTTCAAAAGTGACAGACCATGTCTGCAGGGTAGACGTTAGGAGCCATACCCTCAAACGTACTGGTGTTCTGCATGGGCTGCTTCTTAAACCACAAGTAATGCAGCTGTATCTCTACAAGTAGTGCTGTTGTATCTGTGTGGTGCTGTAGAAGGGCTGATTAGCATTGGGGTGGGCTGAAGCACCTGTCTGAAGTTGGGGTATGGACCCTCTTCCCCTTCCTCCTGTTTAGAAGGCCACTCAAGCAGCGTGACATGTATGGGGATGCCATGGAGCTATGTCCTTAGCCACTTAGGAGCATGAGTCTTATTATAAAGTTCATAACAGCTTCTGCTGTTTTTTAAAATGGAGTTTAGGCTCTAAAGCACTTAAAGAGTATTTAATTTATTCCCTTGGTCTCTATTCATGGAAGTGTGGGCTGAGTAGAGGACTACAGGAATTAAATTGGCCACAGATATATTGCTTACTGGGTGTGTCTACACATGTATAAAATGCACTTTTTCTAATGCGCATTAAATTTAGTACTTCCAATGTGAGATACTAAATTAATGCTCATTAGGCTGCATTAATGCAGAGTAGCAGATGTGCATTTTTTTAGTGACACAATGCACAGTATACTGTTTTACTGCGCATTAGCATGATGTCGCAGTTTTTTTATATGACACTTTAATGCACTGTAAAATAGTCTACTGTGCATTAAAGCGCATGTGTAGATGCGTCCACTGATTCCAGCATTCAGCCTTTGTTGAAACAACCATGTTATGTGCCTCAAATAAAGGGATTCCTTGTAATATTGGCCATGGACAAATATTTACTTCAAGCAGTTTAAAAAGGAAAGGGGGAGCTGCTACTTGGGAAGATTAGAGCAGCTGCTACCCTCTAACTACTCGTAGCAATAAAAGCAAGCCTGTAGTAATTCAAGTGAGATAAACCTCACCAAATTTACCCATGGATAAGCAAGGTTACACTTGGAAGCAGTTCTGCTACATTTGTATTGGTACAGACTTGTGCACACGTAGCAGTTAGAGGACAACACAGATTTCACAACCCCTGAGCAGCAACTCCCCCTCTCTCTGAAATCATTCAAAGTGAATGTTTATCGTAGATAATATATTAAATTAGTAGTGAGGCCATTTTTTTACTGATTCAACATAAATGCTATGCCAGTGTCAGGTATGCTACACAACCTACAGCTTCTAACACCTGTAAATGGAAAGTATGTAAAAACAAAATGTATTTTTTTAGGTTGAAATACCTTATACAATATTTGCTACTGTTTTTGCTTTTCTGTTAATATTTCTAAGGTTTGAAAGATAATCTGTGAATTAATTGTGCCTTGCTTGTCAGTGATTACATCTGATAGTTCCATTTTTGATCATACATTTTTCAGCGTCTGCCAGCATGGGTCATTTCAATGCACCTTCCACCCCTGCCCATCGATGTGTACTGCCTATGGGGATCGGCATTACAGGACTTTTGATGGACTCACTTTTGACTTTGTTGGAGCTTGCAAGGTTCATTTAGTTAAGGTGAGATCTTTTCTTTTCTGGTTCCCCAAAATCAAGGTTTAAAAATGAAGTAGGGGAAACTTTTGCAACTGAAAATTTGGTAATGTATTTGTGTTACTTACATATTTTTTAAATTACTTGCTTTACTTATGCCACAGTATTATTTTGTTAAGATTATCCTGCAGGCAATTTCTTTTTGAGTTATGCAGTTGCAGTAAACATGAGC